TATCATCACCACTGTGCAAATAGATCCTAGCCAATATAGTATGACAAGAAAAAGAAATAAAGGGCAAAGAGATTAAAAGAGACAAAATCATAAGTATTTACAGTGGAAAGTAACATACAGATGACACAAAATCAAGAGGCACTATTAAAATAAAAAGTTTACTAAGTTTCCAACTATATGATTGCATTACAAGTATTAACTTATTTTTACCTACCAGCAACAACCAGTAAAAAAGAAATTGTAGAAAGCAAAATATATTGACAAAATTACCTAAGTCAGCACGAAAAAAAGCTATCAAAATTTAGGAATTTTTTAAATGCATAATATCCAGAAGATTAAAATCTTTGAACTATTTAAAAGTTTTAAAAAACCTAAATACATACATGAAACAGGTGAATCGCACATCTGCAACAGTGAAGGAAGGTAAACACAAGAGCACACTACAAGATGTACTATAGGTTACATCTACATGAAGTTCAAACAGGCAAAACTTATCTCTGGTGACTTAAGTCAGAAAACTAACTCTTTTCGGTATTGAGGGTAATTGCCTAGGAGAAAAAGGTTCAAGTGCGTTTCATGAGCGTGTGGCTCAGCCCATCACAGTGACTATGTCAAATCACTTCCCGCCTTAGTCTGTGCTTATGTTTTCTGAATATCTCTATGACTGTCGCCTGAGAAGAAAAGGCTGTAGCTTAGTTTATTGATGACTCTTCACAACACAGTGACAGTAGACAGCTGTAGCACCAACAGCCCACTTGAGCTCTTAAGGACAGAGGTAAAGAAAATCTTCCTAGGAGGTAAATAGTACCTATTTTTCCCACTGTGTCTGAAATAAGATGTGGCCAGAAATGTGGATCAAATCTGATTCATGGGCTCTAACTAATGTTTTGGCTGGATAATGACAGGATTGGAAGGAACAGGATCGAAAGACTGGTGACAGTGAAGCAGAAAGATATGCGGGTAGATGTTGCAAAACAGACACAGATTGGTGTTTACATCTTCTGTAACTGCCCATTGGTGAGTGGTTTTGTCAGTCTTTTTCTCCAGCCAGCCCAGCTTTTGCTCACCAGGTCATGAACAAAGTGGTACGGGAACAGGGACAGAGCCTATGTAGGGGTTCACCAATGGGAACTTCCCCTTACAAAACTGATCTTGCTCATGCTACTGTTTACCTGCCAACAGAGACTAGCACTGAGTCCCCCAAGTATAGCACACAATTCTCCCAGAAGCAATCTGATGGTGGGCTGATTATATGGGACCTCTCCTATCTGGGAGGAGCAGCTTCACCCTCACTGTCACACTTTGTTGGATTAGATACATAATCTGAATATGGATTTGTCTTCCCTTGCTACTCCGCTAGCACATCTGTGGACCTACAGGACTGTCCTCCCCATATGACTGCTCCTCATCAAGGATCTCATTTCTCAGCAAAGGAAGACTCAGCTCAGGGGGTTAACTAGACTTTCCACATGTCCTATCATTCAGCAGCCGCTGGAGTATCTGAAACTGGGATGGCTTAATGAAGACAGTTATAGCTCCCCATGTAGCATACTATGTGTTAAAAGGTGAAGTGTGTGTACTAATATCATTATATGAAGCAAAGGCCACACCTCCCACAAGGGTCAGAATGCATGGGCCTGAGGCTCAAACAAAGGCTGAAAATGGTAACGGCTTATCCCTCTGCACGTACAAAAACTCACCTGGAAATTTTTTGTTTCTCACGCTAGCAATCTGTGCTGGCCTAGAGCTGCTAGTGCTCAAGGGTGGGCAAGATACTTCAACCAAGACTACAGTGAGGTTCCACTGACTTGGGAGGTAAGATGCCATTTGGGACTCCATGAGGCAATGGGGTTAACAGGCAAAAAAAAAAAAAAAAAGTTTATTGATTGGGATGATTGATCTTGGTTGCCAAGGGGAACTGGATTATCACCACTGGAGCAGTGACACAGTGAGGACTTTGTCTGGACCCCAGGGGATTATGTGGGTCATATGTGCATACACTCATGTGCCACAGTGGAGAATAATGGAAAGTAAGAGCAAAAATTAAAAGCTGGATGACCATGGACTCAGGTCCTTTTAGGAATGACAATTTGTATTACTGCATGGGATAAGGAATTCCAAAAAGTTGAAGTTACTGGCTGAGGACAAAGGAAAGAAATCAATAGCTATCAATAACCGCTTCATGGAAGACATCAGTAATAATTACAAAAAGAGGAACTGCAGTAAGTAGCTTTTCACATTTCTATTTGCTTGTCATATGTAACTGGCTATTTGTGTGTGTTACCTATAACATAAGGGGTGAATGATGGGGCACCAGCAGAGACCACCAGGTTTGTGTAAAGGCAACATGGCTAGAATTCATTGTGCCTGGGTGCAAGCAGGCAGAAGGCAAAAAGATCATCTGTAGGGAACAAAGAGAAGTGGGTTCCTTTTACAGGGACTTACAGAAGGCAAGGGACATTGGCAGGAAGTGGGCAAAGTTCTTGAAGTGTCCAGTGTATTTGCTCAGGTGTCTCCAGATGTCCTGGGACCTGCAAAATTCTTTGTCGTGCCTTATCTCCTTTAAGACATTCTGGGCTTGCCACTGACAGCTCCAGGGCTGAGCCAAGTGCCCTGCAGAGAAAAGCACCTCTGCCAGGTAGGCAGGCTGGGGTCTGGGGGAGTCAAGTCCCATTTGAACCTTACATTATCCACTCTCTTCTCCTCCTTTCCTGATATTGTTTTATATACAAATTGCTGGAATAAACTTTACAATTTGGTGTAATTTAATTTGGTGATTAATGTAGCTACCAACAGGTTCAGTGACTGCTGGGTCTATGTATTTCATTCTGGAGTAAGAAGGAAAATCCACTTATTTCTATGAAAGGCGGCTGCATGTTGCTGGACGGAAATAGTCAGTCTAGGGTGCATCTGCAAACTGCATGGTCAAAGGATGTGCTGTTGTTCAAATCCAAATCCACCCTTGTCTTGCTTTGGCTACTACTACGTTCTTCCCCTGCCACAAGAAAGCATTTTCAGAGGATAACCAGAAGGGAACAGATCCCCTTTGGGTATCTGGGGCCATCTGCTGGAATGTGCTGCAGCCAGCAGGAAGGTTCCTGGGCCAGTAAGAAGGGTAGCTTCCCACACTGCACTTCCCCCATGGGTAGTTTCCGACAGCCACCAGGTCCTTCTCTCTGTGGGCCTGGCACCTGCGGTTCCTGTGGCATCTCAAAGCCATGTACTCGCCAGCTGGGTCCAGCTGGATTATGGCTGAGAGCAGCAGCTCTTTCAGATGTTTTTCCATTGAGTCCTCTGCCTCAGCCTCCAAGGCAGCAGCTGCTACAAGAAGCCGATTCTCTGTTGTAGTTAAGTGATTTTTTATATTGTTTTCTTTACTAAAGGAAGTGGTTTAACAGTTTAATATAAAAGGGTGGTTTTATATTCCTGACTGGACCATGATTTAAAAAGCATGGGAGTGGCACTGTAGTTATGCTAAAAACAAAAAGCAGTGGAGGACTGGGGAGTGGCAGAAGACCTGCTTGACAGGCACATGGTCCGGGGGTCTGTCCCCAGCCTGTGTGCACACTGTGCTTTTAGAGATACATACTGAAATATGGGTTGTGTGATATCTGAGATCTAATAAATAGATGAGGAGGTACACATATGATATCTGCTAAGTCCAGGGAAGCGGAATATCGTGCTTCATATTTTTGCCTATTTTTATATAGTTGCCAAACTCCCCATCATAAAGCATTCTGAAAACTCCTAAATATTTGAATATTCCCAGTCACCTGTGCACAGCACAGCATGGCTACAGGAGCCTTCGTGACAGTAAACGAGAGGCAGTTAGTGCTGGGATGATCTGACGTCTGCCTCATTCCCACTGCAGTGGAAGGTACCAAGGAAGGGCCCTTCCCAGAGGTCAGTTCACTGACCCTTATTAAATCTCCCAAGGTAAAATTAAGGTAATGATAGCAGCACTTAGCTCATCAGAATTGCTTATAGAAGACTACTATCAACTAAAATCCCCTGGTTGGGAGCACCACTTTTTTTTAGTTTTTTTATTTTATGAAATCTCAAAATTTCTGTAATATATTAATGAAATATTTCCATAAAAGTATTGAATAATATTTTGTTCAATAAATGCTTTGCTGAGGGTTCCAGCTCAAAAGTCATACATTTTTTTTTTCTTGAGCTAAGGTCTCACTATGCAACACTCACAACTGTACTGCCTCAGCCTGATGCTGACATTATAGGTATGTGCCTTTGGAGCTGTGAGAATAAACTTCTCTTGTCTTTTAAGCCTGGAATTCTTGTTGAGGTAGCCTGGGAAACACACAGCCAGGCGGCTCAGGCTTCCTTGGGTGTTTGTATCTGTGCCCATTCAACAGCTCCTCCAGCACCTGACCTGGGCTACGACAAACAAAACTGTTCTAGGAACTCACTTCCCACAACACGCTCAGAGCTCAAGGCCTCCAGCTAGTCACCTCATCCTTGCCTTTCACAGTCCTTTACTGCATTTGCTTACACACAGTGTCCGAAGACTTTAAAGCACATTTACTCTGTTTAGAAGCACAAGAAGTCCTAACTCCTGGGTTTCCACTTTTTAATTAGAATGGTCCAACAACAAGCTAGTTGAACTATGGCTTTGGTTATGTCATTTTCTTGCTAGAAATTCTTTTTTTTTGTTTTTGTCTTTTTCCTTTTTATCGGTACCAGGGATCGAGCTCACGACTGCCTGCTTACAAGGCAGGCGCTTATGCCGCTGAGCTAAATCCCCAGCCCCATCTTGCTAGAAATTCTTGAGGGACTCCCAGATACCTACAAAGCTTGTCCACAGCCTCTACTTAGCCAGCATTCACTACCTCCCTAATCTGCCCCATCTGTTTTATACTCTTATTCCCTACATGCCTTTTACCAAGAATTCCAAACCACGCTTTTTCAGACTCTAGATCCTTTGGACATTTATAAAGGGGTAGCAGAGTTCTGTGGTCAAATGATACAGGAAAACAGTAGACTTACATAAATTAAGCCATTTTATTATAAGCCTTTTCAGACAGGTTACCAGTATGATTCTCCAAGCATGGATGTAGGCGGCATTTTCTAAACTTACTTCACCAGGGACTGCTTCATGCTATCTCCATGGAAGCCACTTTCCAACTTTCTTCTCTAAGCATATGTTACCTATCTGTGATTACGTCCACTAGTTTTGCTTTCTTACTCTGTCCATATATTTTAAAAAGTTTTGTGAAGTATGGAGGAAGTAATGTGACTGCATTGTGACTGATTCAGGTACTGTTGAATTTTACAGAATGTCTCATTTTGATGAACTGTAAGTTCAGAAGCCCTAACCACAGTTATAAAAGTGGACTGCAGCATCCTGTGTAAGTAACACTTGAGTCCTCTTAAAAAAATATAGAAACTACTTGTAAAAACAGCCAATTTAATAAAACTTCTGGATGACATGAAAGGCAGAAACACCTGTCCCACCGCAGGCGCGCATAGAGGTGTTTGCCTAGGCAGAGGTGGGCAGTGGCAGCAGGCTGGTGGCTGACAGGCACTTTGCTTCTTCCCTTCTGTGTGGCAGTGACGCCCAGGCAAATGGCTGGCTCCAGTGAGTCAGTCTGGCGAATGGACGCAGACAGCAGCAAGCTTGGCATCACTGTACAACCCTGCCGAAGGGGATGACCACCAACGTAGTAGATAAAAATAAAACTTTAGCAGTAGTTAAGTAAAGAGTGGAAGAAAGGATGTGGCCAGGTCAGGCCTATGATTAAAACATCTGTTGAACAGAAGCTGAATCCAGATGGCTAAAAGACGAGTGAGGCGACAGGTGAAGGCCTCTCTAGAGTTAAGGAGAGGACAGGTGAGGACAAGCTGGCACCAGCTGTCATCTCAGCTGTCCCGAAACATTCAAGGCAGACTTCTGTCTGGCAGTCTCTGTGGCAAACCACATCGGAGGTCTTTATTCACAGCAGAGAAGGCAGCTGTGGGGCTCTGTTTCCCTGATCACACGGGGCCACAGCAGACTTCCAGTGTGCACGCAGGGCACCAGCATTGCCTGCAGAGATGTCACGCTCTGGGCCATGGCGAACGTTGCAGCTGCAAGGATGACAGACCTCCATCCAGCTGCTAGAGTGCTGGGACGTTGCTGCAACAGCAGCCACCGTGGGAGAGCCACGGACCTGGTGTGGAAGCCTCGCTCACAAGGCCTGCTCCAGGGCAATCTGTTCCTCGTCCTCTGTGTGTAACCAGCTCCAGTCCAGAGTCTGAAAGTACAGGCAAGTTAATGTTCAGCAGTTACTGTAAACCTCAGCTCAGCTTTTCTTTTCTGGGGTAAACAGCACAGCGGGGAAGTACAGTTAACCCTTTTGTCAGCACAGGTCCTATACTGCAGCACAACTTGGGAGTGGAGCTTCCTTTGGACTAAAATCTTGTGACTGTGCAAAGTGGAAAGGTAACGTTAGTCCTGCCTGTAGTATACAGCCCTCACATACAGGTCCACTAAAGATTGGTGGGAGTGAGGCTGAACTCAGCCATTGATTTCCAGTCATACAGAGGATTTTACAAATAGTTTCTACAGAGGAAATGGGTTCAGAAGACTTCCTTTTTTCTCGGGCGGAGTGTAAGCAATGAAATGATTGCTATATAGGAGGAAGGAATGAGCAGCTAGAGACAGAGTGCCCACATGGAGAAGGTGATGAGTCCATTCAAGGCCAAGGGAACCATTTAGAGTCCTCTCATCAGTATCTTTTCACTCAGACAATGACACGGCTGCGCTCCATGCCTCGCGCTGCAGAGCCATGCCAGGTCCTGTCTCACTGCAGCCCAGCAGAGCACCTGGTGCACACCTAGGGCAGCAGGATCTGTGGTGCAGGTAAGCATAATGGAAGTAATGATGCCTCCTCATCAGGATTCAAACTTCACAAAGGTAAATTAAGTAGGATAACATATATAATGTGTCTGTAGCATGCAATAATAGTCATAATTACTATACATAATTTACCAGGAGGTCTTAAGTATATACCGAGGCTATATGACACTGAGGTTAATACTGGCTTCCCCTGTTTTTCTGCAGAAGAAGGGCCAGGTAGGGCTGGGGCTCCTGAGGGAGTTACCATGAGGCTCTGGTCCTTCTCCTTCATGGTGTCCTGCATGGTGCTCTCCAGCTGGGAGCACAGGGAGTGCGCTTCGGCCACAAGCTCCTCACTGTGGGTGACAACCAAGCAGTCAGGCTGTGAGAGGTCATCTGCATGCACTGCAGCTATTCCTATTGCTTCAAAATACGTAATAGAATTTTTGACATTATTTTAAAAATAAGGCAGCTATTATTTTGGCCCTGAATGTCTTAAAACAGTACATCACCAAATGGTGACATCATTTACCTGATTAAGTACTTCTGAGAAGCCAAAATCCAGTCATGAGCATTACTGTTCAAAATAAGAAAAGTACATAGATCTCCAAGAATAAAAAAGCAAAAGAGCCCTGTTTTACTTACTAAATAACAGACTAACTTCCAAAAAATCTAAAGCTTTTACCCAAGTCACCTGCTTTCCAATTTTCAAAAGAGAAAGGAAAAAGCAATGGACAAAGCAGTTCACTAGGTTTATGTATTTTTCCTTCTGACTTGAGATGCAAAATCCTGGAAACTTATTTAGTCCAATCTGCTCTCTCTTCTCTGCAATAAGAAATGCATGTCTTCTATCATGAATGGGTCACCATGGAACAAAGACAATCTAACAAACCATCCTTCCTTTTCCGACCACAGCTCTGTGACACAGAGACCACCATAACCCCTGTGCTCCCAGGGGGACTTTTCTGGTTGAGAATAACACTGGAGGATAACACGCAGGACAGGAAGTCAGTACCCTTTAACACATTTCACTCTGCAAAATGTGGCACTGTGTGCAGGAAGGAACCTGGAATGCTTCTTCTTCTTCTTCTTTTTTTTTTTTGCAGTACTAGGAATAGAACCTAGGGCCTCACACATGCTAGACAAGTGCTGTACCATGGAGCTACGCCCAAGGTCTCCACAGCGTGTTTTTCTCAGCCTTACTTGCTATTAGGTTAGAGGCTTGCTACCAGCCCTATAGGGCAACCAGACAGGTGTGAGGCCTGGGTACTACAAAAGAGCCACACTGAGGCAATGACAAGTGCATGGAAAAGTTCATACTTGGAGTGGAAAGTCATCAGGAGTCACTGAACTAGGTCAGAATGGCATTTTGGGAGGACTGAGGGCTTGGTGGCAGAACGGACAGGAAGTGGCAGGCAGAAAGCCCTGCCAGGAAGAGGCCAGAATGTTCTGTTCACTGCTCTGCTGCAGTGGCCCAGGCAACAGCGAGCAAGGGCAGGATGAACAGATGATGAGACACACTGGGAAGAAAAACAGTAGCGTGGTAAATACAGGCAGGCAGAGGAGGCCAGAGGACTCAGGCTGACGAAGAGGACTCATTCTGAAGGGTCTCTAGTTTTGAAACACAGAGGAAGCCTGATAGAGTATGAGCAACAGACTTTCAATATCCTCACTAAGCAATTAGTAACCCAACACCTGGACAAATAAACCATTTAGTTAGTTAGTTACAAGGGACATGGGGGCGCTGATATACAGCCTCAAGCTCTGTTTGGGGGGATGTAGCTTCACAATGCTTCCACCCCAGCGCACACTACACTTGATCTTACTCACAAGGCCGAGAAGCAATATCCTATCTATAACAAAGAGGAGCACACACAAATTAATTAGACACATGTTTATCAGTGCCATCCTCAGGGGCTCCTCACATTCCCTGGGATGTGCACTGCTAGCGGTGACTTACCTTTTCTTGGCTGGCTCAGGGCTACTGTCAGAGGCAGTGGAAGGCTGGGACAGCAGCTGACCAGAGTGGCTGAGCCGAGACATGTTCATGCTATCTGGGCTTCCACTGACAGGGCCACGGACCTTGCTCTGAAGGGCAAAACCAGAAAGATAGCCAACAACATTCTGAAGGCCAATGATGGAACACATTTTACACTCACACTACAGTATTTCTGCTGCAAGACACTAGCTGTTCCTCAAAACTCCCAGCCTGCATTTGTCGGTGATCACAGCTGGGCCTGCCCATTCAGCCTTGGAGTGTGTCTGTGTCTTAATGCTGAGATGTGGGTACCTGCACCTCCAGGCTTTACTTCCTTCATGTGACTCCTCAGTGAACTCTTACACAGAAAGAGAAGGCAGATATTGCTAGCCTTTCCCAAGCAGAAGGTAGAGCTACACGAAAGGTCAGGAAACCATGACAGCAAAGGGAAAACTGAAAATTCTCTAGCCCTGGGGTGCTACGGTCACACACACCTCCTCATACTTGCACCCCACGCATGTGACCCACTGCCAACTTATCAGCACTTCAGGCTCTGCCCTCGCTGAGCCTCTGGTCAGCTGCTGTCCACATACCTCAAAGACTCCTGTCCCTGCTTCTTGCTCTTAGTATATCCAGCCTGTGGCCCTTGAGCTAGGGACCCTCCCTGGCTTCACCTCCACCACTCCACCTAAACCGGCCTTTCTAGGGCCAACTCCACCCTGCTCCTCATCCATCTGTTATGCCTTACCTGCTGTTCAGCACCTGAGAGACCCAACTGTCCATATCTCCTTTGCACTAGGCTTGTGAGGCTGCAAGGTGGCAAGCCGTTCCCACACAGTTGGCGTCAGCTATTCCCCAAATTTCCATGCACCCAGGAGCTACCCAGCTCCAGACCCCCACTATGTGGCCCTCACTCAACCCAACTTATCCAACATAAAGTGACACCTCTAAAACAAAAATGGGATCTGTGTCCCATCAGCTCCTTTGATCTGAACGGGAACGCTGTCCAGTTTCTGCACATGGTGCTTCCACAAGCCAGCTTAAGCCCTCCAATTTCATCCTCAGTGATCACTCCAACCACCCAGAAGACATCAGTTTTGGCAAGGCCTTTAACAAAGTAATGCCATTGTCCTGGGCATCTTTCCAGGCAGCCATCCCACCCCCTAACTCCTACTCACCCTTCAGAAACTTTCCTTCTTCCCTCCCCACTGAGGAAGAAGCTGCCTCCACTGCTCACTGGGACACAGCTTTAGAGCATTCCCTGCTCTGGACGGCTGGCTGTGCCCCCGCCAGATCACGACTCCTTGAGACAGGCAGAGCCCCAGGAATGGCCTCCTCTGTGTGTACCTCCACTTCTCTCAATTTCTTCGTCTGGTGGTGGTTCCTGTTTTCTTTCTTATAGGAGGAAATGCCATTCAGCCCTTCCATGTTCCTGGTCATAACTGAAGATACCAACTGTGCCCTCTCCAATACTCTCAATGTCCTGCTTGGCCCACAGAGGTGCTCCAGCCTCCAGGCCTCCCAGAACAAGCAGCCCTCTGCCCTCCTTCCTTCCCTCTACCCTTAAAGTGCTGTCGACTGACTACTCTCTTCCCTCTCTGCCACCTCTCTGCAGCCCAAAAGGGCCATTCCTCAGAAGCTCCAGCTTCTCCTGTACCCTGCATGTCCCCTTCCTCTGGCTGTCTGGCTTTCCATCTCCTCTTGCGAGCCATCAGCTTGGTCACAGGTGCACTGAGGCAGGTGCATGGCAGGTGAAGGAGTGTCAGCCCTAAAACATGGTCACATCTTTGCCCTGACCTGTCGTTTGCCTTAATTAGGAAAAGGGTCTTTGTAGAGGTAACTGGAGGCAGAATCCTAAGAGAAGATCATCCTGGACTATACAACTGCGATTCAAGTCTGGTGACAGTGTCCTCAGGGAGACATGAAAGTCACAGAAAGAGACAGATCGGAGTAGTGCAGCCAGAAGTTATGGAATGCCTGGTGCCCCAGAAGCCAGAGAGGTCACGGTGAATTCTCCTCCAGAGCCACAGAGGGGCACCATCCTGCTGACACCTGGAGTCCAGACTCTAGTCTTAAAATCTCTGAGAAAATCATCTCTGTGGTTTGCTGCCATCTGGTTGCACTGATTTCAGCTGCTATGAGAATAATAAAGGCACAGCCTCTGACATCATCCTTACTCCACACCCCGTCCCAGGGAGTGGTCCGAGCAGATGCTTCGGAAGGCTTCAGGTGCCCTGTGGCTGCCTCAGTGGGAGGCTTGGTATCAACAGACACTGTCACTCACACAGGCGATCTTCAGGAGGTTCCAGAGCTCCTTTTGTCGCTTCTCCTGGAGCTGGACCACTGTCTTCTCATCCTCGTTCATCAGACTCACCACCTCTTCCACCTTGGGCAGCAACTCCAGGGCCTTCTGCTTACAAACCACAGTTTTACTGTAAAGAACAAACAGGATGCACTCCCGTGGGCCTTGGGTTGTGCAGAGTGCCTTCCCGAGCAGCCAGTGGTCCAGTGAGGACTGGCAACAGTTTCACTGATAGCTACAACTCCAACTGGAGCAAGAGCCACTGCCAGCTGAGGCAGTGATTGGAGCTGAGCTGTGATTCCACCTCCTACCCTGGAGCTGCAAAGGGCTTTGTACCTCAGCTGTGTGTAAATCACTCGCACTTTCTTCTCAAAGCCTTGAATGGCCTGAAGTAGTAACCGCACCATTTCCTGACTGTCACCATCTGTTCTCTGGTCTGGGAAAGAGAGTGGCACAGTTGCTCCAGAAGGTTGGCAGTAAGAACCAATGCCTCAGAAATGCAACGGAAAGGTGCTGAGGTGCCCGGACCACCTACCTCTTGGCTTTTCCCTTAATCTCCTGTAGAGCTCTCTTGCTTGCTCCTCTCTGAAATACATAAGCAGCTGTGTGTTGATTCAAGGTCAAACAGATGCATACACAGCACTGCTAATTCTTTCTTTTCGTTTTTTGAGACAGGATCTTACTATATTGCTATGTTGTGCAGGCTGGCCATGAATTCACTATGAAGCTTAGCCTAGTCTTGAACTTGGGGTGATCCTTTTGTCTCAGCCTCTTGAGTGCTGGGATACCCAACTAACACTGCTACTTCTTGCCAGCACAATTACTGACTTCTAGATAAAAGGCTTAAACTGAGCAGTGAAACCAAATCTTGTACCTCAAGATTTTACCCTTGTCTTCCACAATAATTAGGCAAAAAATGTCTCATCACATGAGTATAGTGATCAGAAAGAGTACAGTGGGACAGTGCCCCTCTACCCTGTTTAATGTGTGATGTGTCAGAACTCTACATTGGCAGACTAATCAAAGAGGAGGACAAACCAAGGAGTGCTGACCTCTGCTCCTGAGATCTGAAGAACTAAAGAGTATAGTAGTTCAGATTTGAGGTGCATCACCTGGCCCCTTCTCTGTGAGCAGGAGCCCTGCAGTCTGGTGACACCTGCCCCCTGCCTATATTAACCACCTCTCAGGCAGCTGCAGCTGCATGGCAAGATGGATCTGGACAAGGCTCCTCTGGTCAGCAGGCAACTGCCTGGCCTCGGTACATCCTCTTTCAGCCTGTCATGCAGTGTGGCAAGGTCTGGTACCAAGACTAATCACAGGTCCTTCTTGACTGAGGACTAGTTTTTCTGGTGATGTCCACAGTAATCAAGTGACAACCCTCATTATCAAAGTTCAAATACCCCAAGGCTTAGGAAGGAAGAAACATTCATGCTACCCTGAATTTCTCCTCTATTTGGCTTCCATTATGTGAGTCCAGTGCCCTCCTGGGGCCTGAGCAGGAGCATACACCTACCCTGACAACCTGGGTCCAATACAGGGAGACTGCAAGTATCCCCCAAGAAGACTGACTTGGGAATTAAAAGCTAAGGAATTAGCTAAAGAATTAAAGGACATATAAAACAAATAATTAAATCTCTGTTCAGATTTATCATCCTAAGAATCAGGAAACACTGCTGAGTTCAAAGTGACAGACACCTCAGTAAACCTCAATAAACCAGTCCAGACTATATGTACACTGGAGGCTGCAAGTCACTTCCTCCGGCCAGTGTGGGTCTGCCCAGTGCCAAATCCCTTCAGGGTGCCAAAGCCAGATCCCTGACAAGGGCTCAAATAAACAGCATCCATGTCCAAACTCCTAAGGTTGCCAGGCTCCTCCCTCCCTGTAACACTTCCCGTTCTTTGAGCCTCAAAACCTGGACTAGGGTAGGTGGACCAAGCAGGCACATCTGGTAGGATGGTAAAGGTCACTTGCGTTTTACAGCCTTTATAGATTACAAACTGCTTCTCAACTGCATTATCTGAATGGATCCTTACAACTCTGTGATATCAACAGGGTTTCTTTGCCACTTAATAGTTTTGAAAACTAAGGCTCAGATTAACATGATTTGCTGTGGCTACCTCTAGGACACAGGCAGACAGGGGACAGGCTGCAAGGGAGCACAGTGCCAGTGTCCTGAGACCATCACAACACACTCAGAACTCCACTGGGCATACTCACAGGTCATCCAGTGTGCCGCCCTGCTTTCGCCCCATTGGGCTCCTCTGCAAGTCCACAATATCAGTCTGCAGGGCCATCATCCGCTCCACCAGACACTTCACTTCGTTCTCCTAATGAAAAGGCTGTGCTAATGTCAACTGATGTAAGAAGAGCACACTGAGACACATGACCTCAGGTCCTAACTCCAAGGGGACTCTTAGTTGACTGGCCGGAAGGAATGTGAACTCTGGCATCAGAGAGAGCTGAGTTTGGATCCAGCATCTACCACTTTCTGGCTGTAGGACTCTTGGGCAGCTCCCTAACCTGTGAGTTGCACTTTCTGCTTCCATAGATAGGCTTCTAATATGGCTACTCAAGGGATTAAATATCTGGCACAGGAGAGTTGGCCGATGCATACTACTCTGTCCCCCTGAATTTGTCCCTCTTAATACCAGCCCATATGAGGAGGCCTGGATCTCTTCATTTCAAAGGTGGTGTGTGAGAGAGCCAAGTCTGAGAGAAGCATGGCTGCCTCTATGCTAAGGAACCACTTGCAGGACATCCACTCTGAGCACACACGAATTTGCCAGGACTATCAACAAAACAGATGTCAGGACATACAGGGAAGACCTCCTTCAAGGGCACAGGGGAAGACGCTGGGGAAGCCTGGGAGCCCAGGGCCTTGTTTCTCTGTGTGCTTCATGGAGTCAGTCATGCTTACTTCCTCTGGCTTTATAATCACTCTCTTCAGGGGGACATGATTTGTATGTCCTGAGACTTTCTGCCTCAATTTTGTCTTACAGATTTCACATCCAATGAAATTAAGCAAACACTTCTGACAAGAGAGAGCACTGATCATTCTCCAATGCTCTTCCCAGGAGCAAGAGCCCTAGACTCTTCCTTAAGGGCACCTGGCATTGGCTCCTTACTTAAACATGGAACCTCTCTGTCCCTCTGTACAGCGCTGAGGTCTTGCCACAGGGGGGCTCCTGTGCACTTTCAGTTTGTTTCCAGAGAGTTTGATGACAGTCTAAGGGGATGGTGAGGAAAACTGGAATTCTGACACAGAAGACCAATGCAGTGTTTGACAAGAACGGAAACTGAGGGCCCAGGCCCAGGATTTAGCTACATGGTCTGCCTGGCAAGCACGAGGGTCTGAGTTCAATTCTCAGTTACCTCTCCTCCCCCCCAAAAGTTAAACAGAACAAAACCTCATCTACACCATAAGTACAGAAACTGAATTTGAGTTTCCTACCCGCCCACACAGCTCCACTTTCTGTTCCATCTCCTTCCAGGCCAGCAGCAGTTTATCAGATGCTGGAAAAAAAAAATTGGGGGAAAAGACCAAATAAAAATGCCCAGAAAACTAAAACAGAAATAAGCAACCCCACTGTAAGAGAAAAAAAAATTCTTAAAAAGACAAAAAGAAAGGGTTTAAGTTCCCTGTGGAATACTCACTGATCCCAAACTCCGTCTGCTCACTGTACTTCTCCAGGTCGATCTGGATGCTGGTTTTAAAGAAATCCAACTTGGCCTTGAGCTGCTGAGACATGGAGGCCATCGCATTCTTCATTTTGGAGAGGCAGCTGTTATTCCGGAGGAGATTCATCCTGCAGAGACCATAAGAAATGGAACAGGAGAGTTCTGGGATCCTACAATAACAGAATCCCATCAAAAGTCAAAGGAGGGCCTCGCTGTAATAACACCCATCATTACTAATACTAAAGCAGCCATTTATAACCGTTAAGACAACTTCCTGGCTTTCGGTGACAAATGAGGTTCTGCGCCAAAGCTGGAATTAGGCAAAGTACTACAGAGAAGGCCAACAATCTAAACTGGTCTTAACTGGGGACAGAGTAAACAAGCTCCCTGCATAATAATCAGGGGAGTTTGGCCAACCCAAATGGTAACAAGCTGCTCTGAGGTCCAAATTCTGTCCTCGGCTTGGTCCGCCCAACCCTCAGTGCTGCACTCCTGTGCCATGTACTAACCACACTCACCTCGTCAGGCTCTCCCTGGGCAGAAGGGCCTCCCTCCAGATGGCCCGCCCTGACCACCTCCTGCTTGTCCAAACCAGGGTCTCCTTTTTGTCTCTCAAAATAGTCACCTCTTGTCCCTGCCTCAGCCACCTCCCAAGGGCAAAGTCACCAAGCAATTCTAAATGAACTAAGTCAAGAACACCGGGCACAATACATGGCAGCTCGCTGTCCCTGCTGCAGCCGGTTGCAGTCCTCCTTCAGGGTCTGGACGCTGTGCCAAACCTGGCCCCACACTTTCCTCAGCTGGAAGAAAGGGAGATTCCTCTTGGGCTCCTGAACTGCGCACAGAGACAAGCAACTGTCAGTAGTCAACTCTCCTACAAAAGGCCACATCCTCCCTTCCCACTCACTGGCCCTTGAAAAACCATTAACTACTATCCGATCACAGAACTTGATGGGTGTTAGCCTTTCCTACTCCTCAGCACTGAAGTTTAGACTCAGGGCCCTTGCACTGAGCTGTATCCCCAGCACTTTTTTTATTTTCAGTTTCAAGGTGGATCTTCCTAAGGCTAGGTTCGATCTTGCAATTGATCCTCCTGCCTCTGCCTCCAAGACAGCTGAGATTACAAGAGCACACCACCACCCTGGGCTCCCTACATACGCTTGCAATAGAAACTCAATATCCATGACATTTGAAGTTATGTTAATTTCTATAAAAGTGCAACCTCAGCCAGCAGTAATGAAGATGGTTAAAAAAACAGGAAGGCTGGAGATCTCTAAGATCTGTGTATTCTAAGTGTGGGCGTCGGGACATAGAAGTGGAAGAGGCATTCAAATGTTCTCAGAACACTCAACCAGTGGGATACTAAGGGCCATTAAAACAAGATGGTTCTATATGCGCCAATGGTGGAAACACTGCAAACACTGTTAATTAAAAAGGGTAAGAATAGAGCGCAGTGCACGATGCATGACATCACCATCTGTATAGGAGACTGGCCCTGGAAGACACCTGAGAACCTCTCAGCAGCATCTTCCTGGGACAGGTTCTCACAAACCAAGGGACTAGGTCGAGACTGGCTGCTTTTTCACTGTGTGCTCATTTTCATGTACTCTTAGACTTTTTAAAAATACCATGTATATATACTAATTACCAGAATACAAATGCAACCTGAAAAATCTATCAAATGGCTAGTAGACAAGCAAGCAGCATTCTCTGCTCCGAGAGTGACCTGAGAACCTCTGTGTCTCCTGGGCACCTGGGCTGCTCGGCCCAGGCCCCAGTACTGGGTATGCAGATTTTCCCGCTCATACCCTTCTTCCCCCTTGACCCAAGTGCCACCACTGATCATTTGTAAAGAAATGATGCTCTCTTTATGCTCAACTATTTCAAAGAAAGAGACATTATGGTAGTCACTGTTAATTACGGGTGGTCTTCTAGTGAAATACTGTGTGGCTTACATTGTTTTGTTCTGATCTGCTTTATTATGTCCTGTTTTGTTTTAATCTCTTTAAAATAAAAAAAATAAAAGACAAATGAAAGAGCATTATAGTGGGAAAAAAAAAAGAAATGATGCTCTTACGGATGCAACTGACACTTTCAGGTTGGGGTCGTGGGGAGATCTGAGTTTCATAGGTGACTTTACTGTTGTCAAAGAGGAACACAAGATCCATGTCCAAAGTGCGGCCCTCATTTGGCTGCAAAGAGATAAGGACAGAGTAAGATCCAGTGGCTCCAACCTGTCCCTTTTCAACTAATCCTAAGCAGCCTCAGAGCACTTCCTGCTGTCACCTAGAGTATCATCCCAGGCCAGCGGAGATAGAGCACACACAACGCCTTTCTTCCCAGTTCCACACACTTCCTTGCTGCTGCCCTTTCATGCCGATTTTCTGAAGCTACACCTTCATGTCCTACCTTATTTTGACTGCCTTTCCTATGAAGCTAAGCTCACTATCTACCCCACTCTGCAGTAACTGTTTCTCCTATGTTAACGCCATCATTATGCTGACTTACAAGCACTTACGTCTATACTGCTGCAATCAACACAGGGATAACCATAAAAGGCTTGTATCGACTCACAAAAGCAAGGCATCATTTGGCAGTAAAGGCAAATGAGTGCCACTCTCCATGGTCTGGAAGGAATAAGTCAAGTGTGAAGTGATGTCTGCCTGCTAGTAGGGTACACAGGGGACTCCATAGCTCACCATACAGCACAAGCAGGCACCTGTGCTGTGGGGGCTTAACTGCTTCATAAGGTAAAGCAGCAATCAGACTATGTGGTGCATTTCCTATGAGACAAAGTCAGAGAGAACCGTGCGGAAGCTGCAAGTAGCCAGTGCTCACCTTGCCATCAGAAATACACTGAGTGGCAGGCTTGTCAGGGATCAAGGCCAGGCCTGCCTCCTGTAGCAGCTCCTGGTCATTCTCTGGGATCCCTGTGTCCTCCTGGATTCTGGCCTTCAAGCTCTGCAGACTCTCGTCTTCTGTCACTGGATAGGTGTGAATGGTGCCTGTGACCATGTTCAAGATATGAACCAGCTGCAACACAATGCAGATATTAGGAGAAGTACAGTCTTTACAGTGGTGCCCATCTCTGTGTCAAGATTCTCCACTACTCCCCACATTTCCCAGCCCTAAAAGTAAAGGCCTAACTCAAGGGAGGGAGGTGGGCAGCCAGGCTCCGACGTTCCAGGCTTCAGGATTCCTGCCTGCCCACTACAGTGGAGCAGCCACCAGCATTCTTCATTCAGTGGTCCCCTCCCCTTCCCTGTGGAGACAGACTTTCCCTGGACCCTGTATTTTCCACTCAGCTGCCTGGGCACAGCAGGCTTGCCCTGCGCATCTCCTTCTTGTCCCACTGTTTTTGGAGCTCCATAGGCCACATGCTCACCTTTAGGTTTAAGATGTCATCCAGTGCCCGGAAGCAGCCATTGGGCCCATACTGGGGGTCCGTGCCCCTCTGCCGTGGGTGCCACATAAGCATCAGCTGCAACCACTTCTCCAGTTGCTCTGCCAGCACACTAAGAACAGGAGCAGGGTGAGGAGTGCTGCCTTCTGCCAGGCCTGAGCCACAGCAGGGTGGATCTGACAGTGCAGCCTGGGGTGTGCCTTGTCATGAGGGCAGCCACAACAATTATTAAAAATGAAAATGGACAGGTCTGAGTGGAAGAACTGAAATCTACCACCCAATCTAACGATTTGGTACTTATCCCCTCCCCCAACCTCCCACTGAAATAGCTCTCGCCAGGAAGGGATGGCAAGCAGAGAGATCCCTACTGGCTAGCAGCAACACACAGCACCGCACAGCACAGCATGCACAGTGGGTGCCCTTGGTTCCATCCAGCTCTGTGGCCAGGGCTAGGGGGCTGGGGTGGGTGGGGCAGGGTGACAGACTGGACCAGCACTCTCCACTTTTGGGCCATTGACAGCACTAGTCTATGGCTTGTTAGGAACAGGGCTGCACAACATAAAGTAGGGAGCAGGGAGTGAGCACAGTTCTGTCTGGTTATACAGTGGCTCCTGGATTGAGAATGCTACCTGACTGCCCCTCCTGTCAGTCCGGAAGCTGATGCCTCCTGTGAACTGTGCGGCCCAGGCAGTGAGCTAATGTAACAGTAAAGTGCACAGGAAATGTCGCACTGAGGTGTGCCATCCTGAAACCACCTCCTACCCAGTGCATAGAAAAACTGTCTCCCACGACACTGACCTCTGCTTCAAGGAGGGTGACCTGCTGAGCAAGCTTTCATGCAGCCCAATGGGTTAATCCCACCTGCCAGGAGCATCTGGTGGGAGCACACATGAGCCTCAAACTCTCTCCTGGCTCTGCATGTGCCTCCTGGAGGCATCAGACCCTTCCCAGGGGCCGTGACAGCCACTTGCTACCTCCTCGGCAAGCCTCTGCTGGCCCCACCTTGACCCTTTGAGTTTTCTTCCTCTACCCTCTTCATCTGCTCATGTTCATCTTTCCAGAACTTTCCCAGAAGCTCCAGCATAGACAGTCATTGCACATGAAACCTCTCCCCTCTGCAAACACTCCTGGTCCTCATTACCTATGCAACGCAGTTACGTGCGACTGCCTTAAAAATGTCCTTTGTAATGTGACCTAACTCCAGTAAATAAATACCTGCCCATGTTCTGGCTGTAAGACTAGACTGGAGATTTACTTCTTGTCAGGATATACTTTTAGGCCAAACAGTGTGAAGAGAAATAAGGTGTAACGCCTATCTTTAAAAAGTCAAGACTAGGGCTGGGGATTTAGCTCATCGGCATAAGTACCTGCCTTGCAAGCAGGCAGTCGTGAATTCGATCCCTGGTACCAATAAAAAAAAGAAAGAAAGAATAAAAAGCCAAGACTGGTCTCATCTCTGGCGTCACAAAATGAAATGAAAGGATTTCTTCTGAGATGGATTATGGCAAATTCTCAGTCTTACTTAAAAGTTATCAGATGTCACCACAGCTCTGCATTTCTGCAAAAAGAAGGCAAGTATGTAGAAGAGTCAGATGACTGGGCCTCACCTGTTTAGATTGTTGGGGTAAGGTAAAGAGCTTGAGAACTTCACTGCTCCATTCAAGTCTTCACTAACAACGATGTCCACCTCACTCTTCTGCCGGACTTTTGAATGCCTGCAAAGGAGCCATATGTTAAGTATGTGCACTCAGTGGTCAAAGACCCCTTCCATTTGTAACATGACACACAACTCTACAGGACATGCAGGATACCCTCCCCCCATGGACACTCAACCTTCTGGAATAATGATCAACAGCCTGGCCCCAAAGCCTCATGAGCTCCTGACTGGATCATGGGGACGTGACTTAGGTGGGTCAGTCCACTAATATGGGTCACTGGGGGTGTGACCTGGAGAGGTCCACCTCCCTCCCTCCTCCCTGATCTTTCTCTCTGTTTCCTGCTGCCCTGCCATGAGCTCTCTCCCCACTACCAGGCCTTATGCTAAAACTACTACAAACTGAACAAACTTACAAAATAAACTTGTCCTACTTACAGTGGTGGCTGCTGGGTATTGTGTCTTAGTGACGACATGGAACCTGAGACAAGGTTTCTCTAAGAGTTGAAGAATGGTGGGTACTGGAGCTGGGCTGCAGAGGCCATGTCAGACTCACCAAGGCAACCACAAAGGTTGGAAGATCTGAGGATGTTCTGAAGGACACATTCTGCGTCTGCAGACAGAACTGCTGAGTCCTGTATCACTCTTGGCTTTTCCCTCTCCCTAATTTCCATTTCATCTTTGTGAGTGCTCATGTTTTGACAGAGGGAAGAATCAGGTCTTCCAAACCAAGACCTTGCATACATGTCATATGCAATAGGCATAATACACATACATACATACATGCACTTCCCTCTGAGCATACACAGGTAAGTATTTTTTCTAAGGATAAGCTAACTTTTTTAATTTTCCCAACTTAAGGACTTCTTGATATACCTGAAGTAAAATTTGATGGGGAAAAATTTTAAACATGACTGGCTTGTAGCCTTCCTGATAACAAGGATGATGCAAATGTGGAGAATGCCTCACAGGTGAACTGTGCACATGGCTCTCGTCACTGCTGTGAAACCCATGCAGCCTGCTGCTTAGCCATGAGGAAATGAAGGTCAGATTATCTCTCCAGAGCAGTGAGTAAGCAGTCAGTAAGTAAGGGAACTCAAATTCAAAATCTGGTGTTCTCTCTACTCTGCCTGATGTTCAAATATATTTTGATGTTCAAAAATATATTCTCAAGAGTTGGGAAATTTGAACAAAAAGTGCAGGGCTTTCTAATTCATAGGACACATATTCTTTCATCTGTTAATTCCATTCCTATGAATTTGTCCTACAGAAATAACTACAGGGATGCAAGGGTCCCCTCCAGGATGTAATTCTTGGTGTAATTTTATGACACCGAGTTGTAAACCACTCTAGCTTCCAGTCACAGGGCACAAGTACAGCCATCCAGTGGATTACAGACAGACATATAGAAAATACAGAAACATTCAATATTAGTTTAAAAAGCAGGTTATATCAGAGTATACAAAATTTAAAAAAGGATATAAAACATACACACATACATTAGAAAGTCTGGAGACACACAAAATATTGAGAGCAATTGTTTCCAGATTGTCTTATTATACATCATTCTTGCTTACTTTTTTTGTATTTTCCAAAAACATAAAATAATATTAACTGTATAGCATTTTTAGGTTCAAGACAAAGGATTTGTTGTGTTATAAACAGGCTCTGAAGGAGATTCTCACTGTGAAATGTTTTAAAGACATCTGAAGACAGCTTCATGCTACACTGCCACTGAGGTCCAAAGGGGAGGATCCACAGGGACAAACATGTCCACCTGACTGAACGGGTATATAACATCCTAACAACCAAGGAAGAGGGAAAGGACCATAGGGGTGAGAAACTGGGATGAGAGTTCTTTTCACTATGCAGTTTTTATACTTTGAAGTCTAAAACTTGCAAACTTACTACTGCTCCAAAAAAGGAAGATTTAAAAAAATCTGAGCAATAGCAGTCATTTAAATTAGTCTTAAGGAATAGTTTTGACTGAAAATTACTGATTTGGAGGAAAGTTAGCTTTTAAATTATTCATGTCACTAAGAGTCAACTTTTTTCTCCCCCCAAGTACCTTTACTGATAAAAGCTGTATATATGTGTTGTGTACAACACCATACTTAGCACATATTTACCGTGTAAGATGGATAAAGTAATTAACATATGTATTACACTTACAATTTCTTGTGGTGATGATTAACCTATATTTATAAATAATACATTATTTTTATAATTAGTAAGTAAAAGGCCAGTGTGGTGGTAATTCCAGCTATTTAGAGAGCTGAGGGTAGGAGAGCTGAGTTTGAAGCCACTGAGGCCAAACTAGTGAGACCTCCACCTCAAAAAGAGAAAAAGTTAACAGAGTGGATTTTGAAAACCTTAATTGTATCCTTTGATTGTTTAATTAAACAGTTTTCTTAATGATTTCTTAGGTTCACATTTTAAGCCACTTTCCAAGTATAGTGAAATTGGCCAGCAGGAAGTGTCCACACAGAAGGCTGTCCGGGCTTGTCTGTATACACAGCCTTCACTGCTGTTTATTAGCACACAGTGTGTCCTGTCTAGGCGCTGTAGTAACAAGGACTTGTTACTGAACACAGAGCAAACGACACTGATCTGCTATCTAAAGACTCCACTGAACAGCACTCTATTTTCCTGGGTACATGTTGATCACACTTGGGTCCCACTGGGCCTCTCCCTAGGGACAGCACAGCCTGGGGCACACAGTGAACCAGGAGGACGACTAGGATGGGCAGAGCCAGTCTGTCACCTGGGCGGCCCCCAGGGTTCCACTGGCTCACTCACCACTGCACTGGCTGCCAGTTGGGGAGGAAAGGCCGGAAGCCAGTGATGCACTCGAAGGCCAGGGTGCCGAAGCTCCAGTAGTCCACTGTCACTGTGTACTTCTGCTGCTCCAGTAGCTCAGGGGCCTGCAACCACACAAGTGGGGATGCACTGTCAGGAAAGGCAGCAGTCATCAGGTCAGGACCCACACTCTTCAGGTTCCATCCTGGGACAGTGTGTCCACTTGGGAGGAGGTGACCAGTCTGATCAGCAGGTATGACCTAAGGCCTGCTGTGTCTCACAGGCTCACTAAGCACTGGCAGAGGGTACAGGAATCAGGACTCCCGGAATCACCTGGAGTAGACCCATGAGCATGGGCCACACTTGTGCTTCAGTTCTTCCCCTCTGATAACCATGGCTAGAGGCTAGGACTGTGGCTCAGTGGAAGAGCAGTTAGCATGTGAGGCCCTGGGTCCCATTCCCAGTGGCGTGCAGACAGACAGACAGAACAGCACACACACACACACACACACACACACACACACACACACACACACAAGCTGAAGGATGGCAGCATTTTAGGAGTTTATTGAAAACTAACTTGGGGTAGTTAGTATCCAGTCCTGTGGGCCATGTAGAGACAGGCTGGCACAGCCAGGGAAAACTAGTAAGCTGCATTAAACACAGACCAATGCAACGGGATGGGACATTTACAGCCAGGCAGGAAGCAGCAAAAGGCATGGCTCCTTGTCAAGGTGGAGAGAGCTGAGCTGACCTAGGATGGTGACAGGGCCCAAGGGATCCTGGTGCCGTTCCAGAGAAGACCATCATGGAGTCACAGAGACAGGACTGGCTATTGTTGCTGTGGCAATGTGACATTTATAAAAGGACCAGGAGCCTGATCCTAGAGAAGTTCGGAGATAGCCAGTCACTGCAGGGCCTGGATAGGGATGGATGTCTGAGAACCTGACTCACCACCCTGGGCAGAGTGTGGGTGGCCTTTGGTCAGCTGCTGCTAGGCTGCAGGGGTTCTGGGGGCCCAAAGGGTGCATGTGGTGACACCTTCCTTTAGACATTGGGACACTTCCACCTCACAGAGGAGCTGCCCACTGCCCTCACCAGTAGGATAGCAGGAAACACAGTGCACACAGTCATCAAGTACTTTCTTACTTAAGAACTAGATGGCATGCCTGAGCCATCTAGCCCAGACCCCATCACGATCACACTGTGACTGGCACTCACAGATGCGCCGCCCATGAACGGTCTCAACGTGCTCAGCTACACCCTCATCCCTGCACCCGCACTGCTGCTCCGCTCTGCACAGGGACGGTGACCTCTCCCTCGGGGCCCTCTTCCCCCTACATGCCCTGCTGCTCACACCTGTCCCATGCAGGTCACTCTTCACACTATAGCTGTCTTTTCAAAGCCTGGGCCTTCTCCAGTGTAACACCCTCCAGTGTCACTCTGGAGGTTTGAAGATACAGCCTAAAAGCCTTGGTCCAGCTACAAGGGTCCTTGCTTCCCTTCCCAGTTTATCTCAGACTCTCTTTTCCTTCCTGTAGGGCCACTCCACACTCTCAGGTCTTTCCCTCTTCTCTACACCTCTGCATCCTCCATTCTCCAGCCCCTCCACCTCATCCTGCAGGGCTACACTAGGTCCTCCTACAAACATTCCTAGAGTTCCCAGTGCTGTTTCTGAGTCTTGTGGATATCATGGCAATGCCTGCATTCTTGTCAAGCTCTAAAATCCTGAAGAGGTGAAAAATATGCATCTTCTTTGCCGATGGATGCACTGCCAGCACTGGGCACACACTCTTCACTTGGTCCTTACTGCTGAATAAGGGTGACTGAAGCAGAAGCCCAGTCCTCAGGTGACATAAGGTAACAGGAAGGGCAGCTCAGCCTTGTGAAATGTGCAGCCTCTAGACCAGCACAGGTCTGAAGTTCAGTTTCTTAATTTCCAGATAAAATACTGAGGCACAGCCAGGCTGACCTGTGTAATGACACTAGTATAGTCCTTCTGATGTCAGAGAAGACAAGGAATCCTTGCTGGCAGAGAATGCTCATTCGAATGGATAATGGTTCTACACGCTCACTTGACAATGCATTCAGGAAATATCCACAGAGCCAGCAAGAGTCAGATGGGAAGGAAGGTAGAACAGAACCCCACAAGCATACCACCAGAGAAACTGACAAGCAAACACATCAATTCCATTTCTTACCAGGTACTGCAGGGTCCCCACAAATGAAGTACAAAGACTGCCCTGATCCAGTTCCTTGGCATATCCTAGGTCAATAATTTTGTGTATTAACTGAAAAAAAGGAAGTGGAAATCTAAGGGTTGTAAGGAAACACTGTACCTGCCTAGCAAGTTGTATAGGGAATCTAACTTACCAAGTTATATGTTAGATTCCCTATACAAAACAAAGAAACAAGTATTTTTAGATTCCCTCTACAAAACAAACAAACAAACAAACAAATATTGTCCTACCACTAGGGCAGAGATATTTCTAAATTCCCAAAGGGTATGGAGCCTAGAGTCTTAAGGAGCCTCCACATAACTAAGGAGAATGCCCGCAGCATGGTAGACTCAGGGCAAGAGCAAATGCATGCTATAAAATGCATGCTTGGTTCACACTTTGTCTTGCTCTGCCTTGGTGCTCACAGGGAGGCCAATGTTCATGGGTCACACACAGCTCTTAGGAGCCCCAGGCATGGACCTCTAGTGCGGGAGATGCAGCCAGTCCCTGCTTAGGAAACACAGCCCTGAGATCTTAGAACCACCAGCAAGAGTGAGTGTGCCTGGAACAAAGGCGACCCTGTCACAGTCATGGGTTGGGTCAGGTCCATGCTGGTGGAGAAAGTGCTACCAGGAGGCATGAGAGGCTCTGGAGTTGAGTTAGTCCATCCCACTGAGCTGGGCCCTGCTCCTCACCCCTGCTGAGCAGACCCAGAGGGTGAGCCCCAGTAGCCACCATGTCTGCATGGGGTGCCCTCAAGATGTTTCCAGAGAGCTCTGGGGAAACCCAGGCTGGAGAGAACTTGCAATGAACAGGCACCAGCTCCAACGGCACCCACATCCACAACCAACAGACACTGGGTTCCATTTTAGAATCGAAAGTCAGCACTCTCAAAACAAACGGAAAACAATGCCTGTTTCCAAGAAGTACTAATCCCAGAGGCAAAAGCAGAGGCAGGACAACGAAGATTATTTTCCTTATCAGATTCCTACAAGGTAGGCAACTAACAATTTGATCCATTCAAACTTACCTCAATCTACAAGCAACTGTTTTGCTGAATTTTGTTTCAAATCAAAACACTGCCAGAGAATCAAAGCATGACTCAAGGAAAAGTGAAAATAAACAAACCTATGAAGCAGTTCCTCTCCACCAGGCACCTCCTGGGGCAGCCCCAAGACATCCTGAGGGTCACTCACTCTTTGCTCTCCTTGCTGCAGAACGATGTTTTCTGGTTTTAGATCCCGATGGATGATTCTGTTTTCGTGAAGGTATCTAAGTGCAGATGCTGAAAGAGTGAAAAGGGAGTGGTTTTATTATACCTAGGAAATGCTTTTCATTTTAGAATCTCCTACTCTGTGTTCCTGAAATGCACTCCTTTGCCTGTGGAGGAGCTCTTTAGGCAGGAGCTCTTCAGGCAGAGTGAAGGGGACCTGGCTCGATGAGCAGAACTTTGACTCCCACAAGATTCTGGCTTCTTCATGTGACCTCCTCTGCCCCTCAAAAATCAAATATTCTTTGCCTTGTATCCATGAAGTCACCAGATATATCCCAGAGAAACACACCATGTTGCCTGGACCATGGCATCCAAGCTCAAAAATGCAAAACTCCCAGGCCTCACTACAGCATCCTAGGTCCTCCAGTCCACTGATAAAATCTGAGAAGGGGACACCCCTGGTCCAGAGGTGTCCTAAAGTCTGCAGGTGAGCAGAGAAGGGCCCTTCAGAGGCTACAACGGTCATAAAATAGACTCAATAAGGCCTGTGCTGGCTTCATGGAAGAAGTGGGGAAACAGCAGGGAGATCTTCAACCTTTTGAACAGTTCACTATGTATTACAGTCAGCTGAGTTTCCTGGCAGGTTCTGTGGGCTATAAAAGGGACATATCCCCAGCTACAGAAAGCTCAGAATCTAGTGGGGAAAGAGACAGCCTGTGCCACCCTGCAGTGAGGTCATCTGACACCTACAGCTTCTCCTCCTTGCGGATGTTAACTGAGAAAGAACCTGGCATACAGTGATTGGGACCCATCCGTGTGCAGCTTAGACCCCAACAAGATAGGATAGTTACTGCACTGTAGGAGGAGTACTAGTACTACAGAAGAAAAAATGGAGTATTAGCAAGAAAACTATCCTTAGAAGGCGAGGATGTGACTATATGCCTAAAGAATTCAACAGACTAAAAACTAGAATGTTTATTAAGTTGGCTAGAGCAGTATATACAAATCAACAGCTTTTCTCTATGTCAGCTTATCTAATTGAAAAGGAAAAAAAATCCCATTCTTATTAGTATCAAAAGCTCCATAACCAAGCAATACATTTAGCAGAAAAAAAGTAATATTACAGGATGAAAACTATATGGCATACAGAAAAACAGCAAAAATATTAAGAGACTTTAAAATTTTATGGTAAGAGACTATAAACAAAGGTAAAGAGCCTGGGGAAAAACACTTGCAACACATATGCCAAAGAGTAAGTCTACCTAACAGACAACAGCACTTAGAAACTGATAACACAGCCTAGTAGACAAACAGGTGACAATTAAGAAAGGCAATCATGGAGGAGGGACTCAAGTGGCAATCAATCATGTGCACAGTCATTCAAGCTTACCAGACGTCAGAAAATGCAAAGGAAAGCAACATAAAATACCTTTTTCCATCTCTCCAGCCATGAAAATTTAAAATGAGAAATGAAAAGCATTCCTCTACATCGCTGGAAGGAGTAAAAATGGTCTGTATTTTTGGAAAAGAACAGTGACATGGAGATACCTGTTAAATTGTCAACTGTTCTAATTGTTATGTATACCTCTAGGACTTCAGCTTATAAAATCAAGAGCATCATGACACAAATCTAAGGGTACTATACCTCCTGCATAGCATGGCATAAACTAACGAGAAACAAAGTGACAATAAGGGAATGGTGAGACAAATTATGGCTGAGCCACATTACAACAGGCAGCTCCTTAGAAATAACTTAGGCTTCTAGTTTCTGACTCGAATGGAAATGATGTCCTGCCAAGTGTATGGGAATAATTTTTGGTTTTGGGGGAAAAAAATGAAATAAAAAGCAAAAGTAAAAACAATACTGAGAGGCTGAATAAGCCCTCACTGTACGATCACACAGACACACTCCTCACACACATAAACACACACATACACACATATAAACACACCCAAACACAGCCTCCACACAAACATAAATGCACACCACTCAAACACACGCCTACACCTCACACAAACACATGTGCATGCACACACATGCACACATGCATGCATGCATACACCAGCAGCACCTGGACAGAGAGGGCTCAAGCACACACTCAGAGACTTTCAGGTGAGTGTTTCCTACAAGCGCAGCACACGACAGACAGTTACATATGGAGAAGTGTGTCCCATCAGGGAGGGTCATTACAATAAACTGCACTACAAAACTCAGAATTAAATCTGTCTTTTAAAACCTGGGGTTTGGCCACAAGGTGCCAACATTCCCTAATTGTTCCTTATTTTCTTCACTTGCCTACATGATACAATAAACTCTTTCAGGTCCAGTTACCAACCACATGAAGTCAAAGACTCTGGTTTCTTTATGCCTGAAGAGCTGCCCTCCATCTTGTTCTCAGCGTATTGTGTGGAAAAAGATTAAGTCTGGCAAATGGCTTCTTGACTAAAACAGGCTCTGTGACTAATAAGCAAGGTGGCGGGGTAGTAACACCAAACCTAAGAGGAAAGTGCAAGATCCTGTTCCTCCTCATTCAGAAAGCATTCACCAAGCAGTAGAACCAGAGGAGACAGTCACTGAGTGAAAGCCCAGTCTAAAGCTGTGCCCCTAGAGAGAACGGCTGAGGGTCCCTGGGTAGCAGGGTGCAGGCTGGCAAAGGGTTGAAAAATGGTCCCAAGAGTCAAGTACAGTACATTCAGGGCTGGCTGCAGTGGGTGGGGAGAACAGTTAGCTCACAGTGAACTATGATAGAAGTGTCCTTTCAAAAGCATGACAGATGGATTAGCAAAATCAGGTATGGTCAGTAAGGATATGATCTGTTCTATACTGAACTAGGGGCGGCAGCAGCACAGCACTGGAAACAGGATATACAACACAAAGGAGAAACGCTGAAGCTGGGAATTGTTGTGTGTGTGTAGCTGAGGATGCGACCCAGGACCTTGTGCATGCTATACAAGCACTCTATCACTGAGGTGCACTCTGAACCCTGGAGACACTTTCAATAGAAGAGTATGGAAGAGGAACAGAAGTAGATTCCAAGTAAAATAGAGCCACTGGGGTGGAAAGAACCTAGGAGATCACACAGAGGTCCAGATGTCTTTCTGAACACAAGAATATTCAGGTCCAGAAAGTTTTATGGCACGGTTACAGAGCTGGCCAAGTGGAGAAGCTAGGAATGAAAGTTGTGGTCTCCCTATTATTATTACTGTTATATTTGTTAACCTGGTTCTTTATGTTTTTCCAACACACTTTCTATACAGACTATCTGAGGTCAAGTAATTATCTTTTGTTATAATCAACAGTGGAGTCAGACCAATGTGTTCAACAGATCCAGCAGGAAAATCCAAGAGTGGGGAAACCCACAAAAAGCCAACTTTCCAATTCCTAATGTGGAGCTCTCCTTCCTTGGGCAGGTTGTGTACTCCTGGAATCCTCATTTCCGAAGTCCTGGATGCCCACAGGAGCGGCTCTGGCAGGAGTAGAGATGGTGACATAGGGACAAGAGACAAGCTGGGAAGAGGGCTCCTGAAAGCAACCTGGCCAGGGCTACAGCCCGGTTCAGCTTCTTCCAACACCATGTGTAAAAGCCCAGATACTACTGGGAGGATGAGGTGGACTTGTGAGAGGTCTGTCAGCCCCTGGGTGTGTGCCCTGGGGGGACAGTGGGACCCCAGGTCCTTCCCTGTAACTCTGTCTCTTCTACATCCTAGTCCTGCAGTGAGCATACTCTCTGCACAAAAGCAATGAGCTAAACAGTCACGAGCTAAAGCTGCAAAACTGTGAGCCAGATGAACCTTTTCTCTTTATAAGATGCTTTTCTCAGATATTTGTTAGAAGATCAGACAGCTGACTACCAGTCACCACAGCTAGCCAGCCACCTAGAGAATCTAACGTAAAATCCAGCAACCCACAAGTCACACAGATGTGTCCTGGCCTGCTTGGCTAGCAATGGCATCAGCAGGCTCTCCAGCCACACCCTAGCAGCAGGAGTGCTGGTGCCTGCCCCTGGATCTTGACTGCCGGGAGGCTGTTCTTCCACTGGCAGAAGGAAACACACTCCAGTGTTTTCCACAGTATAATGAGCAAGATCCTAAATACACTTCTTCTGTGAGCTATAGATCACATTACGTGGAGTCCAAATCCTCTCTGGTGCCTTTAGTGCAGGGGCAAGGCCTGACACCCTGCTGCATACAAAGCAGGAGGTGAACCCTGTGCCTGCCAGCCACCTGCTCACTTCTCATGGGAGCTCTGCAGGATCTCACTGCAATTTACATCGGCTAGAAAAATCCTACTTCCTGCTGCTGATTTGAGCTGGAATCTCTGGGAGGCGAGGGGCACAAAAGACTTGGGGCAAACAAGTTTGGCCTGCAAAGAAGACAATGAACTGGCCAAGGGCGTGGCTCCATCACTTATCTGAAGTCAGCTGGGCAGAGGACAGCAGCCAGCTCCAACAAAAGGCACTTGGGGCCAGCACTGGAATAAAATATGCTCAGGAAATGTGCACAACACAAGCTGCTCCATACAGCTGCTGAACTCTGACTCAGCCATGAAATTCTTGCAAAAGAAATAAATTTGATGGGTCTTATTCACAAAGCAGAAATGTGAATAAAAGTAACACAGCAACTGATCAGGGGCTTCAACCACACCCACAGACTTGGGGAAGTGACTGCATCTGCAGGTGACGGAGTTGGGAATGAGGAAAGGAGACTACCACTTCCAGAAAGGGAGCCTCTGGGGACAGCCACCTGCCAGGTCTGTGGCTTAACCTCATACTGAAACCCACAATTAGGGATGGAGATTTTCCAACAGGGAGATGTGAATATAATTGCAGAGGGGGAAGAAGAACAGCAAGGGAGGCTCATCTGCTAGGAAAAGAGCACTGTGCTCAGGTTTTGTGTACACTGTCTCACCTTCTCCTCGCAACAATCCAACAAGGTGAGCAATGCTCACATCTCACCAAGGAAACATCAGTTCTGAAAAATCAAGTGACATTCCCCAGGTCAGACTGCTAGGAAGTGAGGTGGGAATGTTTGGGGACTTCTGGATTTGAAAACGTAAGTGCTTACTTATTTTA